AAAAAAAATGCAATATATGTTTTATTGAAATAAATGAAAAAACAAGAAAAAATAGGTTGTACTCTTTTAATATGAAAGATCAGATCTTTAGTTTTTTTTAATTATACATAAAGTGTGCTTACGTGTTTATCGTTTGCTCCTGAAATGAATTCGGTGATAACTGTTGTAGTCCTTTGTTGTGATATAACGGGGGAAATTTTGTATTGCAGTGTGAAGGGGTTAATTTTATTTTTTTTGGAATTCTTTATTTACTTTGAAGGTGCAATATTTTATTATCGTATGTTATTCATATATGACATAAATAATGATAATATTTGGTACTCTGACTCATGCAGGTACTGCAAGTGATTAATAAGCCTAGCGGTGGGAAGTTTTGGTGTATAAGTTGTGAGAAGGTCATCAACGATGCTATTCCAAGGTATGATATACATTGTTAAGAATTTTTTCTAACATGTCACAAACACTACAAAGCTCTTTATTTTTTATGAGGACATTGAGAAGATTATCGACCAACCAGCTATTTGCGTAATTTTAAGGATATACAGATTATACCACAGGTTCAATACCGGATGCAAATCCAGATCGCAAATTACGGATTCAATACTGGGTTTTTTTATTACTCCGCTTTTTCAATTCCCCTCGACAGTCCTAGGAAATCACCAAAATTATAATCTTAATCTTACCGATGTAGAGCTATGCATATTAGCATATTGCTTTGATAATATTTTCTCTATTGGAAACACATTCATGACTCATCAAGAGTATAGTGTCCTTTGCCAACCTCAACTCAACATCAGAAAGTGTAAAGGTAACAGCTCATTATTATTCTTCTTAATTAAATTCTATTTTTAAATTATAATTTTTGTTTCTCTTTGTTGTTGATTATCTAGAGATAGTAATAACATTATCTAACATTAAGCATTATTCAGAGGGGCAGGCCGATACTGGACGAATCCAGACAATTGGAGCAGTGATGCCGCACCATCCTGTCATGTTTGAAATTCAA